GGGGGATGGGGAATCTGAGTGGATGGGAACATGGTCACTGAGCCCCCAAGTCAAAGGCAGGGGATGTGCTCCTCTCTCAGTACGAGTTTCCAGGATCTGTGGACTCTGGGGGATTTGCTGGTGCACACACAGCTGTGCTGGTCAGGCCCTGCCTATTTCTCAACCTGCAGAGCCCGGCACCCTGCCCAGGGATGGAGCTAGTCCCAGGAAGGGAGTGGGACAGGGATTCTGTGTGTGAGTGAGAATTAATACAGGCAGGTCAACGCACTGCTTCCACCCCTTTGAAAGCTGTGGGGATGGGAACGAATCATCATCTCCTTTACCTTGCTGACTCCCCTGTCCCATGGGAGTGGGGTGGAGAGAGACGTCTCTCTCCCAGGGGGTCTGGTGACAACGGGGCTCATCTAATTGATTGAGAAAGACCAGAAATGGGAACATCACAGACCCCACGGCTTCTAATAGCAGAGGGGACGGGAATCCCTTACCCAGCGAGGTCACCGTCTCATAGTTCTCCTGCATGACGTCCCTGTAGAGGGCTCTCTGAGTGGGGCCCAGCAGAGCCCCCTGCCCCTGGGTGAAATACACAGCCACCTCCTCGAAGGTTACCAGCCCCTGGAACAACAAGAGTCCCCCACTCAGCACCTGCTGCCCCAGCCACAATCCCACTAGTCACGGGGGAGGCGGGCCGATAAAATGGAAGCTCGGGGAGGGGGGGCAGAGTAGCAGGATCCCACCCCTACCCTGCTCAGAGCAGCCAGGAGGCTTCAGAGTGGGGAGAAAGAGAGAGGGGAAGGACCAATGAAAGAGGGCAGGAGCTTCATGTCCATCACATACCTACTAGCCAGCGGCTGATATGGGAGACAGACCCCCCGAAAAGGGTCCAGGAAGAGAAACCCCAGCAACCCCTCCCCTTTGCTAGGAGCTAGATATGAGGGACAAGGCATCTCTCCCTGGACCTCATTGTTGGCTGCCACTGGCTAGTAGGTTCCGGCTGCAGCACTGGGAATCTGGTAAATTTCTCCAGCCTCGTGCAGATGAGGTTGTTCCCTGTTGTAGAAACGGGGAGATTTCTACCCTCTCCCAATGGCCCCTGTTCTAAAAATCAAGGCCCAGACTGAACAGTTCCAGGAAGTGAATCACACCTGGTTCCCACCTGCACGTGTGTATTTTCTGCCCCTTCTTCTCTAGCAAAACCTTGCTGAAAATCCCCGACCTGCACCGAATCTGCTGCCGTCATTTCCCTTCCTTGGGTTGATCTTCTGCAGCCCTGTCGGGGCAAGAAGGGTGTTTGGGGAGGTTTCACCGGGGGGCTTTCGTCCATTTCGCGCTCTGATTCACCCCAGGCTCTTTCCCAACAGACAGACTTTCTAGAATCTGTGACGCTGGGAAAACACCGGCTCATTTTATTCCAGCCCTTCCCACCAGCATTAACCCGCCCTGTTCCCCCCCGAGACAGTTTTAAACCCTCTCAGTAACAGAGTCTCTGAGCCAAACTCTAGAAAAGAGGAAAATCAAAGGACTGGCCCTCCTTCATTGGTGGAACTGGAAAAAGTTCACAGAACCTTTGTTTCCATTTTCACCAAGAAGGTTGGTGGCGCTTGGATGTCTAACAAAGTGAATGTCAGTGAAAATGGGGTAGGATCAGAGGCTAAAATAGGGAAAGAACAAGTTAGATGTCTTCAAGTCACCAGGACCTGATGAAATGCATCCTAGAATACTCAAGGAGCTGACTCAGACGATATCTGAGCCATTTGTGATTATCTTTGAAAAGTCATGGAGTACGGGAAAGATTCCAGAAGACTGGAAAAGGGCAGATATAGTGCCCAGCTATAAATAGCGAAATAAGGACAATCCGGGGAAATACAGACCAGTCAGCTTAGCTTGTGTACCCGGAAAGATAATGGAGCAAATAATTAAGCAACTGTGTAACACTATTGAAAAAAAAGTGAACACCATTCTGGGATGTATTAGCAGGAGTGTTGTAAGTAAGACACGAGAAGTCATTCTTCCGCTCTACTCTGCACTGATAAGGCCTCAACTGGAGTACTGTGTCCAGTTCTGGGTACACATTTCAGGAAAGATG